ATGGGGATACATGTAGTCCTCGAGCTTACAACCACAATCGAGCCCAACATTTCTATTGCTAAGTGAGACAGTTCTTAAGTGAATTTTGCCCCATTTTATGACCTTCCTTGCCACAGTTGTGAATCACTGCAGTTGTTAAGTTAGTAACACATTTGTTAAATGAATCTGGCTTCTTCATCGATTTTGCTTGTCAGAAGGTCACAAAAGGAGATCCCGGGACCCCTGCAGCTGCCATAAATATGAACCAGTTTGCAAGCATCCAAATTTCGATCACATGCCCATGGGAATGCCGTTTATGGTCATAAGTGTGAAAAAGGGTCATAAGTCACTTTTTTCAATGATGTTGTAACTATGAACACTCATTAAATAAACTGTTGTAAGTCAAGGATTACCTGTAATTTAAATCAATAGAATTAATTTATCTATGCTTTGGATTTATATCCCTTCTGTCACGCAGGAGCTTGAAGTAACATACACACCATTTGTTGATCTTCAATGGTTTTCCCCAGAAAAGTTCTGGAAAAGAGTTGGATCCAGAGGGGGCATTCAGCAGGTTCTGACCAGTTCTGGAGAACTGATAGCAGAAATTTTGAGTTGTTCGGAGAACCAGCAAATACCACCTCTAACTGGCCCCACCTCCATCTATTCTCTGCCTCCCGAATCCCAGCTGATCAGCTGGGTCTTCTTTGGTTACCCTGCCCAGGAGAACGGAGTTGGAAAGCAGGTTAGTGGGGTGGGGAGGGAACGGGATTTTGTAGTCTCCTTCCCCTGCCATGCCCACCAAGCCACACCACGGCCACCAAGCCACGCCCATAGAACGAGTAGTAAAAAAAATTGAATCCCACCACTGGTTGGATTGTGTTGTGTTGATTTCTACGAAGAAAGTCCAATTGCCCTTTGGAAAAGCACCTTTGGGGCAACTAGACCTGGATGAGTGAGAATTTCCATACACATTTGACCTGACAAATTGCCAGTGTCCCAACGTCATTCACAGAAAGATTACAGGTCTGGGATTATTCTTTTCAGTCTTGAGATTGCAGGTAATATGCAGTGATATTCCTACAATGGGCAAGGGTAGAAAATCCAATTTTTCCAATCCCTTTGGGTGGGGATGGAGATTATCTCTAAGAGTTTCTTTTTAAAGATTAGCTGTCGTGGGCAGAAGGAATGACTTTGAGAAGAGCTGCAACCTTCTCAAGGCAAGGATCTGATAAAAGAAAGTTGAGTCCAGAGCAGAAATGTAATTTGAGAGTGTGTCCCAGATATGAAGATAAAGAGCGGGGAGAGGGAAGTATATTCAAAGTTGCAAGATTCTCTTACTCTAACCATAAGTCATATTATCGTTCATAGCTTTCCTTTCCTAGTCTTGTTTGCCTTGAATGGCCGATAGTAGCAGAGGTTTTGTGCACCACTTTAAGCACATACGTACCCTTTTACAAACCAAAAACTATACTGTCAAAAATCTGCTTTGGAGATTTGGGATGTAGACGCTTTCTTGTTGCTCCTTGGTTGATATCTTATAAGACTATAATTCCAGGCATACTGGATGAGCTTCTCCTGCCATCCTGATCCTGGTACTCTTCAGTAGTGTTAGGACTCCAACTGTGACCTACTTATGCACAGCAACTAGGTCTGGAATGCTCTGTTGGATGGTCCAACACAATTGTAGGGAAAGCCAAAATGGCAAGCAACATTATAGTCTTATTTGTCCCAAAGATCTTGGTGCGCATAAGCAATGATAATAGCAACAGCAACAGCAAGAATTCAAGAATATGGGGGTGAGTTTGATTTTTAATAGATATATGGCAGAATGTAGATTCTTTTGTTTATTAGAATGTTCTCACTGTGTCCAAAAAAAAAGGAGTATAATAAGGCTGTCATGCACATATAATTACATTGGATTCCAATACAAAAGGTACAATTAGGGCAAAACCATACTGAGCGTTGAAAATGCCTTCTTTAATGTCCAACTGATTTGTCCTCAAAAAGAAATGTATTTTTGCTAGAAGATTTTATTTGCCAAGGAGCCGAACAAAAGAAGTGAGAAACAAATACTTACATTTCCTGTGTAATCACATTTTCACTGGGCTTGATGTAGTCCACTGACTTTATGTCCACAATAACAACAGTGTAGAACAGTAACACAACTGCAAAAGGGTTAAATTGCATACAAGCAGTATACTGTATTTTCAAAGTCACTCCAAAGCTTCAATAAATACTACTAAATTAGCCAAGTGATTATATTCTGATAATATATTTGAGATGCAGAGATTTATTAAGGAAACCATGTCTGATTATTCTATTATTTAACATTTTAAAAACAAGCAAAGAATTTCAGCTTTAGAAATTGTACAGTCTGTGAAAGGTTGGGATGGGAACATTAAAATGTGCACATAAGCTTTTATACATAAAGAAAATACATAACATTAATCCAATAAGAGACGTATGGTAAAATATTTTTGAGTCTTAACAATTCTCTCCTAATCACCAGCTAAATTCCTTGGCTACAAAGAGGTAATGGCTATATCATTTACCTAGAGCCGTGGTGGCGAACCTTTGGCATTTGTGCCACAGGTAGCACACAGAGCCCTCTCTGTGGGCACTGTCACCCCATCTTAGCTCCACTGCACATGCTTATGTGCCTCCCAGCTGGCCTTCATGTCTCTGCCGTGCATGTGGGGGTGGGGGGTGGGGCACATGTGCAGGGTCGCAGGCAGGGGTAGGATTCTACCAGTTCGCACCTATTCGCTAGAACCGGTTGTTAATATTCTAAGCAGTTCGGAGAACCGGTTGTTAGAAGATATTATTGGCCTAATCCTGTAAGGAAGGCAGGAAGGAAACATTCTGGTGTTGCTTACAGAAACTGCCTCTCCATTAACCCTTATTACATTCTTGGCAGGACTAGACTTCCTGTCTCAGGAACGTCTCTGGAGTTATTTTATCCTCCTTTGCTGATACTTTGCTTGTGTGGAGTGACCATTCAAAGTTACAATGGCACTGAAATAAGTGACTTATGACCATTTTTCACACTTACGACTGTTGCAGCATCCCCACAGTCATGAGAGGCCAGGCAAGGAGATGCGTGCCTCGATGTGAGTGATGTTGAGTTGGCCACGCCCAGCCAGTCACATGACCACTAAGCCATGCCCACCAACTAAACCATGCCCACAGAACCGGTTGTTAAAAAATTTGAATTCCACCCCTGGGCACGGGTGCATGTGTGGCACAGGTGCATGCAGGGGGCACATATGGGGGTGTGGGTGCATGCACAGGGGGATGCATGCATGTGCAGGGGGTATGCCTTGCATTTTGGGTATGCATGTGTGTGCACGCATGCGCATACGCACTTTGGGCACTGATTGCCCAAAAGATTCACCATCACTGACCTAGAGCTTCCTGTCCTCTTCACACAAAGCTGTTTTTTTTTTTTGCTAAATCAAACAAACAAAATAAACAATTGCAACTGTACCTTCTGCCAAGTTCATGTAACAGAGCTTTCAACATTTATCTCAACAAAGACATGCATACCTAATGTATTTATTGGCAGTATGCATTTCAAGCAAAATCTCTACACTACACTACTATATCTATTTTTTTTTATCTTTACACCCAATAAATAATTAATCTGCATGATTTAAAAATTTCTCATATCTTTGGGCCAGATGTAAAGAACTGAATATTGTTCCACTTGGATACAACCTAAATCTTTGGAATTAGGTTATAGCTTTAATTTAGTACAAGTTTGCATTAATAAGTTTAATATTTAATATGGAATTTCTTATTTGCTTAGATACTCCATCCTGGTCAAGGGTCTTTGCAATATACTATAATAGTAATAATAACTGAACACTAGCTGTCCTGGTCTGTTTGGACAAAAGAAAGAAAAAAGGAAGGGAGGAAGGAAGGAAGGATTACTATTTATTATGTATTACACCCCCATAGTAATATTGATAGATTATACCTTTTCTGCAGAAATGGAGACTGATAGTTATTTCAAGTCAAACAGTCAATGAAAAGCATGCATTGGGTATTTACATAAAAGACAACCAAGAACAAGAACTGATACAAGTTAAAATTGGAACTTACTGAATGTACAGGACATAACATGAATATTGAAATAACGTAATAAATACACAAACAGAATACTGGCAAGGAAAATCCATTACATGGTCAGTTTCTACAAAAGATCAAGGGGAAGGTGGATAAAGATAAAATCTGGCAATGGCTTACAACAGGAACATAAAAAAAGAAACTGAAGGCTTGATTTTGGCAGCTGTTTGAACTAATAAAATCAAGATTCGAACTGAAAAATCATCAAGTGATTTAAAGTGCAGATTGTGCAAAAAAAAAACAACACAGGAAAAAATAATAGATGACAAGATCCTACAAACTGATTATAAACAATGACATAACATAGTGGCCAATCCAAATATCTGGCTGATTTCACAACCAACAATAATTTGACTATTCTGCAAAGCATCCTATTTTCTGCAGTGCCAAAATTGAACCTGAGCTGTAGCATTTCACATAGGGATACCTATTCACACATACCTTCCTTATTGAAAATTAGTATGTCAGAAGAAAAGCTAGGTTAAAACTCTTTCTTCTGACATTATATGGGAAGAGGAAATGTATATGTGTATGCGGTTGTTAAATCCATCTTGTAAAAAGTACAAGTTTATCCTCTCAAACCAACATATCAACTGCTATCCAGAAGCAGCCATGGTTAGAAAAGTCAGAAATGATGATGGCCACCAATTTAGATGACTGTGGAAAGGAATTGGCTGTATTCACAGAGCAGCTTCTTCCAAATTCAACAGCCTGTTGGGTTGCTATATACTTTCTAGAGATTAGCTTACTTTTGCATAGCAGTCACTCAGAACAGCCCTTTAAGAAAACACATTAAGTGTGTTGGTCTCTCATTTTCTTCTTCTGTCCTATCACGTTCTCATGTGGTTTCTAGATCTAGGCACAACCTCTGAGATGAGGTTGTTGAGTTTCTAAGTTCCATCATGGAAAATATCCGTTTCCAGAATTAGCTCAGTCTCACACTGAAAAGGTAGCAAAACTGGCATATTGGAACTGCTTCTGTAAGCCCTTGGAGAGGATGGACGCATCTCTTTCTCTGATATGAGCCTTCCGTAGTGCTCTTCTTGGATGCTTGCTGTGGAGGGGAGTGGCTCATTCCAAGCCACAATGGCTTGTGCAGGTAAGGACATAGGGGAACCTTCATCTTTTCTGTGTGGGTAGGAGGTCAACTCACCACTCAGATGGACTCTCTGGGTGGCAGAACGGTTGGGAGTACAGCAAGGAAAATGGTGGCCGCCCAACAGGCTCCTGAATGCCCGCTGGAAGTCTACATTGAAAGCATAGATCACCGGGTTGATGGTGGAGTTGGACCAGCCAAGCCACATGAAAATATTGAAGACAGATGGGTTGACGCAGGTCAGCTGCTCAGGGCTTCTGTCCTTGGACGCTGTGTCACAAAAGGGCAACAGGCAATTGAGCAAGAAGAATGGCAGCCAGCAGCAGACAAAAACTCCTAAGATGATGGTCAAGGTTTGAAGCAACTTAGTTTCTTTGCACAGTGAGCTGCGCAGAGAAGAAACCGGCTCCTTCCCCTTGACCAAGCCCAGGCCACCTGCCCTTTCCAAGGTGGAGATGCGACGGATCTGAGCCTTAGCAATGCGAAATATCTGCGCGTACATCCCAATCATGACGGAGACGGGAATGTAGAAGCTGACCAAGGAGGAGACGATGGCGTAAGTACGGTTGAGACGCGTGTCACAGTGATAGGGAAGCAAGCCAGGGGTCGCCTCGGCGCTGTGCCAGTGGAGGTGGACCGGGATGAAGGAAATGAGGACAGAGAGAGTCCAAGCCAAGGTGATCATCGTGAAGGCCAGGGACTGTGTCATCCGCCGCTCATAGCAGAAAGGGTTGGCGATGGCCCAGTAGCGATCCAGGCTGATGATGCAGAGGTGGAGGATGGAAGCCGTGGAGCACATGATGTCAAAGGCCACCCAGGTGTCACAGAAGGTGCTGCCAAAGAGCCACGCCCCGCCTGCCACTTCTGTGACCGCTTTCCAGGGCATGACCAGCAGTCCTACGCAAAGGTCAGACAAGGCCAGGGAAAGCACAAACCAGTTGGTGGCTCTGGTCCGGAGGTGGGGGAACCGGAGGATGGCCAGGCACACCACACTGTTGCCCACCAGGGTGCTCAGCACCAACAGCGACAGCAAGCATCCTGCCAACACCCTCAAGCCACTGAGCGGTCCCTGGCGGTCCCAGGCCTCCCAGCTGTGGTTGGAAGCATTCTCCATCGGGGAAGGTCTTTCTCTTTCTCCTTTTCTGGGCTTCTTCTTTGAAAAAAAAAATTTTTTTCCCCCTCCCTTCGAGCCTGAATTTGGTGGGCGCTTGTAGGGGACCTGGCCAGCCGCGGGTTCATCAGCAGGTCCGCAGCGCCACCATCTTCGAATCAGAATCAGAACCACAGAATTGGAAGGGGCATTGGATGTCTTGGATATCTTCTAATGGTGCAGTGGTTAGAGTGCAGTACTGCAGGCTACTTCTGCTGACCTTCGGCACTGCAATTTGGCAGATCGAATCTCACCAGGCTCAAGGTTGACTCAGCCTTCCATCCTTCCGAGGTGGGTAAAATGAGGGCCCTGATTGTTGGGGGCAATAGGCTGACTCTGTAAACCGCTTAGAGGTGAAGCGGTATATAAGTCTAAGGGCTATTGCCATTCTAATCCAAGCCCCTGCTCAAGCAGGAGACCCAATACCATTCCAGACAAATGGCTGTTTAGTCTCTTCTTAAAAACCCCCAGTGATGAAACACCCACAACTTCTGAAGGCAACTTCTGTTCCACTGGTTAATTATCCTCACTGTTAAGAAGTTCCTCCTTCATTCCAGGTTGCTTGTCTCCTTGATTAGTTTTCATCCATTGTTTCTTGTCCTTCCCTCTGGCGCTTTGGGAAATAAGTTGTGTTTTTGTCTTTGTGGCAGTAGCACCTCAAATCCAGGGAGAACACTGCTCTCATATCACCCCTTCATTGGCTCATGACCACCAGCCAACGAAGAAGTCTGGGACTCGCTGCCTTCATTCTTGAGAATGGTCCAATGCAGACTGGAAGAAAGACGGAGAGAGAGAGAGAGAAGGAAACCGGACGGCGCGCCTCCCCGTTGAGTTGCCTCCGTTTCCATTGCCAAACTTTCCTGCCTTTGGCGGGCTGCGAGCGAGGATCCGGGGTTGGGGCTGGGGTGGTCGATGCTGCAGGAGCCGGTGGGATGCTACGAGATCCGGGCGCTCTGCCTCTCCCTTGAACGCGGAGCCAAGCAGAGGAGGCGAGGCGAGGCGAGGCAGGAGCCAGTTCCGGGGGGCGATGTATCCGCGAACCAGGTTAGCTGTTTGCCGGCGTCTCGTTTGAAAGTGCGTGGTGCTCGCCCCAGATCTTCCAGCCAGCTTTTCGCTGTTGAAAGAACGGGGAGATGCCTTCCCTTCCCTGAGTCTAACAAGCCAGCTCCGCTCATCTGTGTGTGTGTGTGTGTGTGTATCTACCCACCTACCCACCTACCTATATATCTATATATCTATATACCTACCTACCTATCTATCTACCTACCTACCTATCCATAAATCTACCTACCTACCTACCTATCATCTACCTACCTACCTTTCTACCTACCTACCTACCTATCTATCTACCTACCTATCTATCTACCTACCTATGTATCTACCTACCTATGTATCTACCTACCTATGTATCTACCTACCTACCTATCATCTACCTACCTACCTACCTACCTACCTACCTACCTATCTATCTATCTATAAATCTACCTACCTACCTATCTACATATCATCTACCTACCTACCCACCTTTCTACCTACCTATGTATCTATCTACCTACCTACCTATCATCTATCTACCTACCTACCTACCTATCATCTATCTATCTATCTATCTATCTATCTATCTATCTATCTATCTATCTATCTATGATGATGGCAGATGAGATTCTGCCGAAATGTTGCTACAACTTTAAAAGCATAACTATGATGACGTGGGAAAATACCCGAACAAAGCTGAATACCATACATCTATCTATCTATCTATCTATCTATCTATCTATCTATCTATCTATCTATCTATCTATCTATCTATCTATCTATCTATCTATCTATCTATCTAAACAGCCCAGTCTGAAGCTGGCTCAGATAGAGAAAGACTGGGCTATTCACAGCATCATGGGAGGCAGGCAGAAATTCTACAGGTGCAGCTTTCCTCTCTGATAAGGAGGAACAGGAGGTGGGGGACAAGCTTGCTGCCTAATGCACAACTGTGTAATACTTACAATAAAAAAACAAAAAACTACTGGATGAAATGCCAACTGATGCTGAATTCCAAATGGGCCACCAAACTTTAAGCCTGTGAGAAGAGGGCAAACCAGTTTAGAGGCAAACCAGTTTATTCAGGCCAGGCCAGCAATTCCCTTGAATGGAATTATTAATGACAGAATTAACAGAATATATATTCTGATTTTACTATATTAATTTATTTGATTTTACTATATTAATTTATTTGATTTTACGAGTTGTTTTGTTTTAAACTGTGGTTTTATATGTTGTAAGCCACTTTGAGTCGCCATGGCGAATAGGCGGCAATACAAATCTAATAAATAAATAAATAAAATATAAGAGAGTTGGAAGGGACCTTGGAGGTCTTCTAGCCTAACCCTCTGCTCAAGCAGGACACCCTGTACCATTTTCGACAAATGGTTGTCCAATCCCTTCTTAAACAACATGAGTTCAATGTGCAGCTACCTGCCTTGATTGTAAAGAACAGGGATCCCCAAACTTGGCAACTTTAAGACTGGTGGACTTCAACTCCCAGAATCCTCCAGCCAGCTGGCTGGAGAATTCTGGGAGTTAAAATCCACCAGTCTTAAAGTTGCCAAGTTTGGAGACTTCTGGTCAAGAATGACCTAAGCCCACAACCTCAGGAAAGAACAAAAGCGAATCGATCCATCTGTCTCTCCTTCCTTCACACACAAACACCCAGTTTATCAGTGTATCTTATCGCAGCCCTGAAATTACCCTGAGGGTTTTTTAATCTGTGCTATTGTGGCTTTTGAAAGGAGAGACAGCAGTTAATCTGATTTAAGAAAAGGTTTCCTGAATTGTGGTTAGCCATTCCGCTCAGCTGTTCGTTTGTCTTTTGATTTCGGAGACTTTATTGCTTCCATCCTTCAGAAGAAAATTATACCAGCCTGACATTTGCCTTCCTAATTGTCCGTCTCTGTCCTGATTTTGTTACTCACGGTCACCGTAAATTAACATGTGGCAAAACTAAACACATTTTCCATCCCTTCTGGTTGCCTTGAGATGGGGCTGATATAAGGGAGAAAATGCTCCTTTAAGACCAGCATAGCTAAGAGTCTCGCTCGTGGATTGGACATTAAATGAAGGCAATACGATTAATTTTTGGCATCACTTGCATCTTTTTAAATACATAGCAGAAAATACATAAATAGAAAACATTTGAAGAATGGTTGCTGGAATTGGGTATGTCAAGTTTAATGAAAAAGGAAGACTAAAGGTGACATGATATCTGTGTTCCAATATCTCAGGGGTTGCCACAAAGAAGAGGGAGTCAAGCTATTCTCCAAAGCACCTGAGGGCAGGAGAAGAAGCAGTGGGTGGAAACTAGTCAAGGAGAGAAGCAACCTAGAACTAGAGAGAAATTTGCTAAGAGTGAACACAATTAACCAGTGGAACAGCTTGCCTTTAGAAGTTGTGGGTGCTCTATCATTGGAGGCTTTTAAGAAGAGACTGGACAGCCACTTGTCTGGAATAAACAGATAACAGATAATCAGAGTTGGAAGGGAACTTATAGGTCATCTAGTCCAACCCACTGCCCAAGCAGGAGACCCTACACCATTTCTGACATATGGGAGTCCAATCTCTTCTTCAAGGTCTCAAGGGATGGCACTCCCACAACTTCTGAAGGCAAAGCTGTTCCATGGGTTGGTTGTTCTCACTGTCAGAAAGTTTCTCCTTATTTCCAGGTTGAATCTCTCCTTGTTCAGTTTCCATCCATTATTCCTTGTCTGCCCTACAGGCGCTTTAGAAAATAGCTTGACCCCTTCCTCTCTGTGGCAGCCCCTCAAATATTGGAAGAATGCTGTCATGTCTCCTGGTCCTTCTTTAGTATAGGGTCTCTTGTTTGAGCAGAGGGTTGAACTAGAAGACCTCCAAAGTCCCTTCCAACTCTGTCATTCTGATAATTCTGTCAAATATTTCTAATATTGTGTATGTTGTGGCAGCCTGTGCAGACAGCAGCAGAATCGACAGTGGGGAAGAACGGGGACCAGTCAGGGAGTCTGGAAAGGACTCGGATGAGGGTCCTGCATCCGATGCAGAGATGGGGCCAGCACCATCTGGGAGTGAGGTGCTGACTCTGGAGCCTCCGGAGTCTGGCAGCAGCAAGGCAGAGGAACAAGGGGAGCCTGTTCCCAGTGCGTATGTGCGCAGAACTGCTGGAAGGCAAAAGCAGCTGAGACAAAAGGGGCGACTCGGGAGTAAGGCTTGGAGGTGATTGCCCCTCTCATAAGGTATAAAGAACAGGCAAAAGTGACGAAACCTTTGCAGGAAGCAAAGTCATTCTTTCTGTTCCAATTAAACCTTGAAGCTCTGTGTGGACTTTGTACTTCGGTTCGTTTTTTATAATTCATTTGGCACTCTAGTTGTTGGCAGCAATTCAAAGGAAAGAAAGGTGGGTGCTTATCTTGAAGGGACAGTTTGGGACTCATTACCGGCTGGGAATGAACATAATTCTCAGCGTTGAAATAAACCAAGAGTTGTTTTAACTAAATGTATGCTTAATTATGGTCTCAGGAAGCCTTGGTCAGAACAGTATATGTACACCTCACAGAGTCCCTCTATAAGAGAGTTGGATGGTTTTAAAAATTTGATGAATAATTAAAAAACAAACAAACAAATAATCAGGAGGCATGGCACAAAAGGGAGGTTCCCAGGGCAAAATTCTGTCATGGTTAATGGGATAATCAACAAGTCATAGGCAGGAACTTGGAAACTTGGCCATATATGTCTTGTTCACAGCTTAAAATCATGGGCGCCTTCTTTACCAGGGCTTGATTGCCATAGCTCTCTTAAACCTTCATTTATTGAGTGAAGTTTTGTTGGCTGTGCTAAGCCACAAATCATTGCATAAAATGGTAATCGTTGGCTGACAAATCCCAAGTCAAGTCCAAGCCAACCATGTCACAAGAGTGCATGGTGGATGAATGAGGGAACAT